AAAGTGCCATATGTTCTCAAAGTATGCCTCATGTGCACAGAAATCGACTTCACCGTAATTTGAATATAAACATTTCAACTAAAAACCACAGAAACGGATTTTAGGCTTTCTGGAGGCATGAAAATGTCTTCAGTAAATTAGAGAATGAAAATAACGATCCATCTCGATATCTCTTATTTTGGATAAAACTTTCTAAACTTCCTTCTGCAGAGAGCTAAGATCATCTGGGTAAGGAAGGGATTCCTGTTGAGCAGAGGGAGAGGTTTGCTTGAGCAATGATGGCAGAACTGGTCTGCTGTATACCTTCCCTGGAGTCATTTTGCACACAGTGACGACAGCTCACCGCTGGGCATGAATGCCTGTCGTTTGAATGACACGACTGTTTGCCTGGCTAAAAGTTGTGGCTGAAGTAAGATGCTTCTGGAGCTGTGAACCATGATTCAATCTCTGGCCAAGGATTTAACAGGGAAGATCAGGATTAGCAACTCTTCACAGCCCTGTGAGAGAACTTTTCTGAACACCCAGGGTCTGACCTTTTAATCAGAGCAGTCACCCTCCACACATTTTTTCCATTGTCCTTGAATTCACTACCTTCCCTTATTCAACCTGAAAAATATCTCCTGGCTCCCATCACCATTACTCCCTAATCTACTAAACACCAAACTTCTTTTTGTTTCTACCTCTGAAAGCACTTCACAAGAAAATGTGTTTGTCAAAAAATCACAGCCTCAACCCAAATGCATGCATCTCTTTCGGATCTTTTCCGCTTCATCCCCTCTTGCTCATCACAATCTTCCTCCTCTCTCTCTCTCTCTCTTTTTTTTTTTTTTTTAAATGTCTGACTGAGCTCATTTGATCCCATAAATTCACCACCCATGCTACTTTTACAGGCTGCAGGGACAGACTCTGAAATATTCAAGAGCTTTAAGAACTAGAGAAATTAAAGAAATCAAAATTTTAGAAAGAAAAATCTAATGATACTGTTTAATTTTAGACATTTGCAAGTTCAGTATGAATTGGAATATATAAACTAATATCCTACAGTACATAAAAATCAAATTAAAAAGCCCTCATGAGCTCCTCTAGGAGCTTATTCCTCTGATAAGTCTAGGAATAAGACTGAAGTCTTTAGGTACAGAAAACTACTCCCCCCAACACACACACACAGACTCGACTCGGTACAGTGAGAAGAGCAATCTTGACTACATCACAACACCTTCAAGGACTGCTTTCTCCCTGATGGATGAGCACAATTTACATATATTTTAACAGACAGCAAGGAAAGAAATTCAGTTTGCAGGGGCAGGGTGAGCCGCAAACTGAAATTTCAGATGATGCGCTACTAGGTCAGTGGTAAGGGTAGTCTTGGAAGATGTTTTCCGACTTCCACCTCATTGACCAGCAAGGCTGTCAAAGAAACATCAGAAAAAATAAAATTTCCCTAGTCCCTCTGACCTACTGACTCTATTGACCTTCCCACACCTTAGGTACCAAATCAAGTCCCCAGGGGGAAGAAACTGGCTTCTAAGTAGCTGAAATCTGGGATGCTGGCTGAACGTTTCCTTCCACTGACATGAATGCACATGTGGTTTCACTCCAGAATGAATAACAGTAAAAACTGGTTAGTGCTAACTGTAGAAGACTAACGGAGTTTTAAAAATATGCCAATTATTACCAGACCATAATTAGAAAAATTCAGGTGCTTCCAACAGGCAGGTCCTCCCACAGCCAAATATCCCAAACCAAAGGTATTCACATCATTTTATGGATCAGAATCAGTTTTTTTTCTGGGCTTTTACTAGAGCTCTGGGTGAAGAAAAAAGCTCCTCAAATTTATGAGTGAGAGTTGGCTGACTGAGAAATGCCATAAAGCCATCTTATCTTTTGAAGAATAGTGGTTTTCTGGCAACTGTGTATGTTTTCTTATGTTAGAGCAGAAAATTACTCTCAGAAACTTAATGAATGGCTCTGTCATTACAGTCTAAGAGGCCCAGACAGAAAGATTTCTCTGTACTGTAATTACGCTTTCCACAGACAAAATCGCCATAAAAAACTTTCTTGCTGCTCCAGTTTTAGAAGGGTCTGGCCCAGAGGCACCAGGCTGCGTAAGGGGCAGCGTCTAATTCACATCTATTTAAGTAACCACACCACATTGGGAACGCAGATCCATTGGTTCCAGGGCTACTAAAATTATGGCATTTAGACTTAATAAAGGTGTATTTAGCAATTTATCCTCTGCTTCTTAAATTTAATGAGAACATTTCTAATGAACTTAGTGAGCTTTAGACTGTGTATTGTGAATTTCACAGATCATGCAGAAACATTCATGCTGCCCTAACTGTATTCCCAAAGTCACTTCTAACAATTACCTTAATGTAAAACTTTGTCCAAAGAAACTTATCAGAGCTTCCAAAAGCATCCAGGGCACAGGGATAATATGGCCAGGCTGTTACATGCAGATTCTCCTAGAGAACAGGAGAGCACACTAATCAGCCTGCCTTAATTAGAAGGCTTCATAACACAGAACATAAGTAGGTAAGAGACTGAACACATGAGGGAAAAAAAGAGAGATACGGCAGAGCCGCGGCAAGACAGTTTCATCTAACAATACAATCGGCAACTTCAGGGACATCAAGTGGCCCTGAGGTCAGACGATTTTCTTCTAGATCTACCTAAAGTTTTTTTCCTTGTGTCTGAGAGTTTATTTTGCAAATATTAATCGCATGCTATTGTTACCAGTAGTACTATTTGCCTTACTATACTCTGTCATCCAGGCTCTCAGAGATTTCTATTGCTTTGCACATAATCCCTACAAACTCATTGCGAGGACGCTACTTGCCCCTATTTTTCAAATATGGAACTTGAATCATAAGCAGCTAAATCAAATCACTCAAAAGTTGCACACTGGGAAAAGAACCTAGCACTGTTTCCTCCTAAGCACTTATCCTAATTACAAATTAATTTTTTAATAATTTACTACCCTCAATTAACCATTTCTTTAAAAATAAAATGGTAACTTTACCATTCTTTCATAGCACACTGCCAGTCTAAGATGTAGTTAATAAACAATATTAGCACGTCCATTTTCTTCCATGCAAATTAAGGATGATGGACTAATACTAACTACTTTTTTATTAAAGAAATCCGCTAGCTTCTTAACATACTTATTTGGACATAAGCAGCAGAAAATACCCTTTTCCAGAAGATGTCTGTTTACAGTCTAATTCATGCAGATGTCAAATACAATTGTACCTGCCTGCTTCTGGCCTGAGATAGCGATGTGATATCCAGTTACTACAGTACACTCCACTAGAAGAAAAGAAAAGCACCAAATATATACAAGATATTCTGTTAGACTGATCCAGTCCTTTGACAAGTATTGTACTTAAATGTTTTCCCATATACTTAATCTGGAAAACATTCATAAGCATTTATCCTTGCTTCCACCAAACAGTGCTACCACTGGTTTCCATAACAAACCATTAGAAACTGTGTTGCTAGTTAAAAGTAATCTGGAGAGATCTACTAGTTATAATGGGACAGGTTTAACGGTGAGCTGTAAACTGCTCAGAATCACTGGCAGAAATGACATTCCCCTTTAGCTTGGCAACAGTGTTCAGACATACTGCAAAGCTGACAGGGGATCTGGGAAGAAAAAGACTGAGGAAAGGATACACTTCCGTCATTCTTGGAAAAAGGCAGCGTTCAGTGCAATAATGAGAGAGCCTTCAACAGTTCAGTTAATGTCAGGCCAGTTACTCAACCTCCTGGAACAGCTGAGTGTTTCAGAGAGGTGGAAGTTTCATTGAGACAATCACATGATTTGCAAATAAACTGAAGAGAGAGGGTAGTGATTACCTCTCTAACACTTCACCCTGTTTTAGCTTTCACTCAAAGATCTCAGGCAACTGTAAAATTAGTAAATTAGCCTTCTAGCACTGTGTAAAATTAGGTTCTTTTATCAGAGGATAATAGGATGCATCACATGCATTAATGTACTTTATTTCATACTTTCTTTTCAAACGTGTTAAACTACTCTGATGGGTCAGGCCCTTTTCCCATCCGCTCAACAAAGCAACGTCCTCTGCAGCTGGTTTCTCCATCAGCCGAGTGCTATTGCAGAGACTTGGGCAGCTTGCAATTCCTTCTGGCTGATTTCTCCTACTTTGCCGTGAAGTCAAGGCACCGAAATTTCCCATCACGTTTCTTTCCCCCAGCTTATCTTAGGCAGAAAGCCTCTGTCCGCTGCGGTGGTTTGATAGGGAGGGCGCAGAGCTGTAACCGCGCGGCTAGAACGGGAAGACCGTGGGACACTCACTGATTAGTCTCTACCCAAACAGAAAGGTGCGAGTTCTGTCGGGCATGGCTTCTACGTTTCACCTCTTCTAGGGGAACTTCCCCTTCGAGTGCCCAAACCACTCCTTTGTAACCTGAATTTCATTACTAGCTTTGCCACTAAAGCAGTGCCTATGTTTAACAATCATTAAGAGTATCTGTATCAAGTTAACTCTTTTCTGTGTAAAAATTGCTCTCCGTCAGACCTCTCACCTTCTCTGTTTAACACAGATCTAGATTTGCTTTCTTCTGCAAACAAATGCATAATTTACACTCCAGTGGTAAAGCAGAGCTCCTGTGTTTTGCATCAACCTGATTATTGCACCAGATATGACCTACTAGACTGTCCACGTCTGCATTAAACATAAGGTTGTTCCCTTGCACATTATAGAACACTAGCAATTTTAACATTTTTAATATTCTGATTTTTTTCTAGTATAAATTCAGTTCTGCCCTTGTTCAATTATTTGGGCACTTTCATGCGTTCCTCTGTGGAAAAGGTTTTCTTTCTCACTCACAGATACACAAAATCAGCCCTGATGTTTGGCAAGCCTCGTGTAATCATATGACCCTGAGGCCGCTTTGAACACTGGGTTAAACATTTCAAAATGTGGTTTTAATATTTTCCAAATTATTTCCTGCTCCTTCACCTGTTTTTCTGCAGACTGTTGCAGAAGAGTTGTCTCTGAAGGGGGGCAGACTCTCTGGAGGAAGTCTGAGAGCCAAGCTGGTCCTTGGCGGGGAGAAAGGATCAAGAGAAAACAGGCTGTTTCCTTGCGCTTTGCTGCGCTCTCTCTCCTGCCGCCTCCCACCGGCTCCTGCCCGGGCTGCGCGCGTGCTTGCAGGGTCTCTAGTCACCCTTCCTTGGGTGCCACCAAGAGCCCTGCCTACCCACCTCCCACCGGAGGTCCCGGGGCTGAGGCACGCTCTGCTCCTCCCGTTTCGGAGGGGCCTTGCAAACGGCCTGTAAGCGGCTCCCTGCCACGGACAGCACGCCCAGGCACATCTAGAAGTATATAACATCACCCGAACTCTGCATTAAGTCCTTGGACCTCACAGGGTACCCTCCTACTGCTCTGGGACATATTTCCATGGTCATTGACCAGATAAAAGAAAATCTGCTTACAAGAAGTGAGTAGAGGCGTACCGTGAACGCCTTGTCCACAGCCCTCCAACACATGCGCTCAGGGTCTCAGAGAGCCTCTTCCTCTCCCCCACGTAAGAAACAACTACTTAGGCTCTGGATCAGCAGAATCGTTGTTTTACCAGATCTACGTCAGACAGGATACTGACTAACGCGGAGTAACTAGAATGTTATTTTCATTCTTTGTCTGCCTAAAGCAGACACATATAGGCATCACAGCAAGTGATGAATTACAGACAGAGAGTACATAACAGATACAGCCATCCAAAACATATTCACATATAGAAGCCATATTTGGTTTAGTTACTTCTAGAGATTCGAGGGCACATATACAGTAAATATAGCTAGTTCACATTTTCTGCCTCCAGTTTTCTCTTTAGAAAACCAAAGGCAATGCATTAGATGCATATTTCATCTGTGTCCGCAAAAAAAAAAAAAAAAAGATCTAAAAGACTGTGGAAAAGAAATTGTAAAAATCAGAATTTGAAATGTTTTCAGTGCAACCTATACAGCGTCAAAGAAGTGATTTTCCAAGTCGCTTACCTGGGCTGGCATGTGGGTGGGATGCCTCAAGAGAGAGCAGATAGCACCACGTCGATCACAGACATTAAGGTTCACAAGTGATTTTGATATACAATTTCTCTGCCTAATTTGTGGAAATTGCCCTTTGGTTTATTACATTCCATCATGCATAGTGTTAAAGTTGCAGTGGAAAAGGAAGAAAAGCAAACAGCAGGCACAGCTATTTCATTATCTCATTGGTCAATTATTAACTATAGCTCTTTTTCTGCCCAAGCGTTTGGCCGCTGGTCACAGCTCTCGTGTGGCCAGAACCAAAAAATTCCATGAACCTGAGGCTGCAGCGGAGAGAGCGGCCGAAGCCCCTGCCCTCCCCAGGGCCTAACGCCCTGTTCCTGTTTGTCTCGCAGACACGTAGCTGCCCGAAGAGGACCCCTCACTCCGCTGCACCTTGTCCTTCGCTGTCCCTAGACAGGGGTTACACCACGCCAGTCCAGAGCCTTTGCTCCGGCGAATTCATTTCCAGCCTCGGCTCAGTGGCAGCCCAGAGAAGCATGACTAGATGAAGGTTAATCAAAATCCAACTGAAAGTATTCAGACTTAAAGAGCTATGTACTACTCGTAGTGAGGGAGAAAAGGGATTATACCATACATGTCACAGACAGCTCAAGGGAACACATCTTTCACGTGCTGCAGTTTTTTTAAACACGTTTTATTTGTAAAACGGCACAGAAGACATGCAGACTGAGGCTTTGATCAATTTTATGCGACTCCGAATTTACTCAGACCTCTGCAACAAATTCCTTCCCACCTTCCAACATATTCAGTTGAGCATGATATTCTAACATCCTCATCTGGTGAGATAATTCCCACTACTTACCAGCTGGGCTCCAAAATAAGCTGATTTTATGCCACTTTTTTTTCCTCCAAATAAGATGCCAACCGGACAGATGCCTTTGTTTTTGACTGGCTTCGCCGCACTTTTCAGGCAGGTGACGATGCCAAAAAGCTCAGAATCCACTGCTACGCTACTGAACAGAAAAAGCAGGAGAGCACAGGCAGGTACACCACGCCAGGCTCTGAAACTGCACATCTCTTGTGCGTAAGGAGAACACAGGAGCCTTCGTAACAGTTCTCAGATTCTTCGTTTAACCTGTGTTTGAGATATTTCTGCAAGCAGCAATCTGGGCTCCTCTTCAAATTATACACATAAGTAGGCCACCACTAGCCTAAATTTTTTTTTTCACAGCCACCATGTATGTGATCAGTAACTTGAGGAGCATAGAGACCGGCTCCCTCAAAGCTACTAAGTAACTCAGTGTTTAGTCATTACATTTAATAACGTTTTCATAAAAGTTATGTGGTATCTGATCTTGAGTCAAGTGTTCTGAAACAGGAGGAGGAATGGACCTTTTCAAATGGCCCAAGAAATGAGAAAAGAAACGTTGCACTACGTGATGCCTGCTTGGAGGAAAGAAAAAGCAGCTGAAAACTCCTCCTCACAGGTCACTTGGAAAGTTCTCATTTGGAAACAGAACTGGTGACACTGGCTGCAGTTTCTTTGCCCAGGACATTTTGTGCACTTCTTTTGCGCTAGTAAATTTTGTACTGCTATGTCAGAGATGACTGATTTGTTAAAGTGCTGCAAAGAGAAATATGACCGTAGTCCTACATGAATAATAAAGATTAAAGCATAGCACAAGGAAAGGAAAAAAATACAGAAAGTCAAAGTCATCATTTCACCGTCCTAAGCCTTAAGAGGTCAGCGCACCAGCTCTTGCATCTCCCAGGCTCAGGGAGGACGGTTGAATTCAACTGTCAGACTATTTACTTTGCAGATTTTGGTTTAGTTCCTGACTTGCCAGACCTTCTGCATAAGCGTTGGCCTTTACATTAGAATGAGATTTAAGACATTTAAACACACCGCGATTGAGATAGTGTCTAACAAATTTTCTAGATGTAGAACAGCACCCAAATTCTGTCTGCTAATTACTCTAGACAGGAATACTGAAGGCATGTAGGCATTGAAGCTTTGCCAAGTTCAAGCACCTTTAAACCAAATTTATTCTTAGGCATCTCTTATGTGTAAAATAGGGATAAACAGTACTCTTCACGACAAGCCGCTCTGAGGATAAATCCACTAAAAATTGTGAGCCTCAAAGACACTAAGGCCCGCTTAACCTGGTAGTACTGGTACTGAACTAACGTGGTAGGTGGTACTGAAAGCTCCTGCACGGCAGAGAGCGTCAGCAGTAGTTCGGAGCAAATGAGTGGAAACTTTGCGAATCAGTGCAAAGCCTCAGGAAATTGGCCCTGTGGGCACAATATCATGCGTCTTAGACCCCTAAAATAGTGAAAGTTTTATTAATACCTGCAATAGCAGCATTTACTAATTATAAAATTATTTGTTAAATATCATATGCTTCCAAATGCTCCTAAAACAGAAAAGCGTTCCTTGCAAAGAAGTTATTAAATAATACAAATGGTTCACAGCTCTAATGATTTGTATCTCACAGTGGCAGATTGTTTCAAGGCTGGATTCATCTGCATTACAGATGGGGAGGACTATGCAGCCATGCTTCCTCCTAAAACCTTAAGTATGTGACACACTAGGCAGAGCTAATAAGGATCAGGTCTAGATCTCTTTTAGTGCCCCAACTTCCACAGTAAATCCATGTTTTACAAGTATTAACAGCTAAGCTTCCCCACTGCCTTTGCATGACGTCCTGTAGATTTGGGCTGAACAGTTGCCCTTTGCTCTGTCCTCAAGCACGGTCTCTGGCAGGACAAAACAGTGCAGCCGCTTGACATCACACCGGTTTAGGACAGAACCTAACCCCCCGTTAGGGAGAACGCTCTCCTGAGAGGTAAGGGTTAAGCACAGCCCTGCTCTGACTTAGATGTGATAATGTTTCCTGACTAATAGTGATTTAATGAGATGTGACAGAGATCCCAAAAGAGAGAATTTACAGCTGCTCTTGGCAATTGAAAACGTTGCAACGCACCAGAAACAAGACAGCAACATTATTCTTGAGTCATGCAGACACAAGCACACCAGCTATTCATTCATCACTACTAGCAGGTTGCCAGAGTATTCCCAGCAGACGTCAAGTCACGAAAAAGCACGCTCGGGATTGTTATCTGCAAACTTACATGGTAATAATAATAAACAGGGTCAGGAATTAAACAATCAAATGATTTTGCAAAAACCAACAGAGCTAGGGTTCGCTTCATTTGTCCTTAGGTTCCTACATACTCGGGGAGCATTTACATTATATTTTCAAGCTCCTCTTCACAGCTGGAAGTAGCATTGATATACACAGTGGATTTCTTAATTGAGAGCTAAGACTTCCAGTGAACCCTTAAACTGCTACAGCTAGTGTTTCGAGAGACGCACAAAGTCTCATGGCATTCATGACAAATCTCAGTAACCGGCATCAGCGTGCCTTTCCTTCCTGAACACTGCCACCACCGCTGCACAAAACCGTTCGAAAGCAGAAAAAACAGCAGTTAGCATCACAGGCCAAACCTTGCCTCTCTGTGCTACGTTACAGGTCTTTTGCCTAAACTGCACGTCGTGCTGCGCTGGCGCACCGCTGCTGCAGGCACGGACGTCGTCACGGGTATAACCCAGAAAACGCCAGCGGCGGGCAGCAAACGAAGGAGAGTTTTGCTCGCAGCTCGCTCGCGTGGCACACTTGGCCACACGAGAACTGGCTGTACCGTAGCAACACCACAAAACCATCCACAAACCGCAGGTATCTCTCATGACTACAGCAGTCGAATATTTTCTCATAGTCCTGAGAGTCTTTCGGCTCCAAATACGACAAACCGGTCACTGCTTCCTAACCCCCAGGAGGCGGCAGGACGAAAGGGCAACGCGGGCACCCCGGCGCTTCCCCCGCTGCCCCCGGGAGCGCGCCGGCTGAGCCCCCGGCCTCGCTGCCCTCGCACGCTCACGCCCGCCTGCTTTCCCAGCCTTTCTTACCAGGGGCTGGCAAGTGAGAGTCAAAAAGGGAAGCAGTGCAAACACAAACAGCAAGTGCTACCCACAAAAGCCGCAAATCGCTCAGCGGCGGTATATTACCTTTAAATGTTATTTTCGTTACTTGGCGTCAGCTAGGATGCAGATGGCTGCTCAGAGCTGTTGGCTTCAAAAACTAGGTCGATGGTGGCACAGACAAAGTAAAAATAAAAATCCTGGGTTTTACCCACCGAAACCATCCAAAGCGCAGCAGCCGAAAGGACAAAATAACATCCCCGAGAGCCCTCTCCAATCACAGACTCCACAGACGCGGTCACACTACGTCGCAAGCAAGCTAGAGAGCAGGGCAGAGGACTCGGACTGCATCATGGACACACATCCATCATTTCCCCCCAGAATCTAGTAGCTCTTAGGGGAGTTAATCCTTCTGTATGACGTTACAGCAAACATAGTCAATAGTTTTTCAGCATTTCCTATGATTTAGTTGGTATTTTTTTAAATACTATATAGATGAAAGGCAGTACTAAGCAACTACTACCATGCTAGGTCTTGCAGATGTGCCACAGGTCAAAGACAGAGGTCCCAGTTTTTATTCAGTCCCTGATCTCATACAAAGCGTTCCGCATCCAAAACAACTTACAGAAGTTTCCTTTGCTCATGTTTTCTTGTTGTCATTGTTGGTTTTTAAGGTTGTTTTCCCAATTCACAGCAATATAAGCAGCTGCAACGAGTAAGGTGTCCCGCGGTAGCGTGGAGCAGAAACAAGCTGCTACACACTGGGGAAAAGAAAGTGGGGTTGCCAAGAATCACCCCAAAGTAGTACTGCCACCAAATGCTTAGCGTTGTGAAACCACAGCCGCACTTTGAGTCACATGAACCTTCACTGGGAGTTTTGACCGAGTAAGGTTGCAGGATTTGTCCCTAGTAAAATATACAACTGTAAATCTTCCTCAGAACCATCGTATTCCAAAATATCATCAAAAAAATAAATTTTAGTTGAACAAGGCTGCCAGTTGATACATGTTGTAAGTACCTGTTTCTCTACATCACTAGTACCCAAACTCTTTGAGTCCATGCAAGAATTTTTAAACAATATCAAATGCTATATTGTCCAAAACTGAGACACGTTTCCAGCGTCTCGGCCAAGGCTACACCAGTCTGGGCAAACATACAGGACTTCCAGCGTTACTGTTTAATA